ATAGACAGATAGATAGATAGACGTATACATATATATGTGTGAGTGTGTGTGTGTGTAAATTACATACACACATCGCATGCATGTGAGTGTCTGTATGCATTCAGGCACATGCGTGAATGGGCACGCGCTCGGACTTGCATATATTGGGTAAGTCTAACTTAGATACGGTAGTGAATGAGTGTATCGTATATACGATAGTGGGTTGGGAATCACCAACAATGATTACCTAACCAACTACTCACCTGAGGAAGGATCATGGATCAGCCACCCCAGCATGAAGACCTAGCCAACTACATGATGTCAAAAAAAAAAAAAAAAAAAAAAAAAAAAAAAAAAAAAATATATAATATATATATATATATATATATATATATATATATATATATATATGTATATATATATACATATACATACATATATATACATATATATACATATAAATACATATATATACATATATACACAAATATAATGTATATAATATATGTATATATACATATATATACACAAATGTGTGTGTGTGTGTATATATATATATGTATATGTATATATATATATATATATATATATATATATATGTATATATATATATATATATATATATGATGCATGGTATGATGCGCTGTGGGCCGTCTTAGAAAGGCATGGTATTGACACTGAAATTATGAGAGCAATGAAGAATCTATATCAGGTTGCTGAGAGTGCCGTGCAAATTGGAGACGAGCGTAGGAACTTCCTCAATTGTGGTGTTGGCGTCAGGCAAGGTTGTATTCTGTCACCAATGTTATTCAGTGCATTCCTGGAAGAATTCATAACTAGAGCACATGAAGGTTATAATGGTGGTGTCACTATACAAGGAAGGAAAATCTCAAATCTTAGGTTCGCAGAAGACATAGACCTCTTCACTAGTTCAGAAAAGGAACTGCTCGATTTGACTTCAAGACTGGAAAAGTTTCCAAAAAGTTTTGAAATGGAAATCAGTGCAGAAAAATGTAAACTAATGGTAATCAGCAACAAGCCTGTAACAACTGAATCGAAAATAGAGATCGGAAGCATTCCATTGGAACAAGTTAGCCAATTTAAATACCTAGGATTCACAATGCAAGAGTCTGGCAAAACATATTCTGAAATAAGAGTCCGTCTAGCTATGGCAAATTCACTGAACAAACTCGATACTATCTGGAGAAGCAAACGTACCTCCTTTGCAAACAAACTTGGTCTTCTTTGCTCCATTGTGATCTCTGCCTTGCTTTATGGGTGTGAGGCTTGGACTTATAATGCCGAAATCGAAAAGAAGATCCAGGCCTTTGAATTTAAATGCTACCGTCGACTTCTTGGGGTCACCTACCACGTCTGACGAACTAATATAGGGGTGGAGAGAGAAATAGAAAGGCAAACTGGAAGACAGAAACGTTTCCTTGAGTTAGCCCGAAAAAAAAAGATAACCTGGTATGGACATGTGACACGACATCCCGATCAGTTTCCCTGACAAACATGACCATCCATGGAGCTGCGAACGGGCGGGGAGGACAAGGACGACCAAGGGCGGAATGGCTCGGTGACATCGCCAAGTGGACAGGAAGAAACCGAGATGAGACGACAAGAAGGGCACTAAACAGGGAAGAATGGCGCTCTACTATTGCTGCGTCAACGGATGCCTTGCATCTATGACGATTTGATTGATTGATTGACATATATATATATATATATATATATATATATATATATATATATATATATATATATATATATATATATATATATATATATATATATATATATATATATATATATATATTTATATATATAGATATGTGTGTGTGTGTATGTATGTATGTATGTATGTGTGTGTTTGTGTTTGCATATAGATAGATATAGATATAGTTTTTTTGTGTGTACGTATTTCTTTTAATGAAGAAAACATAGACCAAGTAAACGGTAAAAAATAATGAAAATGACAACTATAGGACATATTTACAGAACATTCTCTGTATTTGGTAATAAACTGGATATTGATATGCATACTCTTAGATTTATTAGAAATACAGTACGAAGGATTTTATCAATATAAATCGTTAACCATTCGTTCTATTGTGTCATGCCTCTTAAGGAAATATATAGTAATCACAAGTTTTCGTTTTAGATTTCGAAATTAATGTTTAAGTATCTATTTATTTTTATATTTCATCTATATTTTTGTTTTAGTTTTATTTACCTTTTTCGACGGTAATCATTTTTATGGAGGTTTGTTGCTCGAGAGATGTTGAGATCTGTTTTATTCCAAACAGAATAAAGGAGATGATACGAAAATAGAAACCTACACTTTAATGATACGATCGATTTATTCTTAACAAAGATGTAACTAGTGCCACTGCTACTGATAAAAAAATGTACATGCTACGCTATCTGATTAGGATCTATTTGATAAATCTAGTTATGCACTATTACTATTAGAAGTATTCAGCATGACTGGATTTAATAGGTATGGAATAAGTCACAA